GCAGCCCCTGCCCGGCGCCGGCCCGCGGCGGAGGCACCGCCGAGGCGGCGGCACCGGCACCCTTGGGACGAGCCTGCCCTGCGGCGGACGAGCGCATGGACTGCGGCCCCGACAGCCCCGAGCCGCCCCCGCTGCCCAACAGCAACTTCATCAGCACGGCGGCCTCGGGCGCCCGGCCCTGGCTGCCCGAGCCGCGGGCGCCCAACGGGCTCCTCTTCAACAACAACCACGTGGTGGTGAGCAAGCCGCTGGCCTGGGGCGCCGGGCTGGAGCGCGGCTTCTCCGAGCTCAGCATCCCCTGCGCGGCGGCCCTGGAGCGGACGGAGCGCGCGGCCATGCTGCCCGGGCACGGCCCCGGCGCCGTGCTGGAGCAGGACGAGGTGCTGGCCTGCCCGGGCTGCTGCCTGGGGCCCTTCAGCTTCAGCTTCGCCTCCGTCTGCCACCGGCCCGCCCCGAGCCCGCCGCGCTACCAGAACCTCAACTGCGAGGCCAAGAGCCTCCTGTACCACCAGAAAGGGCAGGCGCCGGCCCTGGCGGAGCCCAGCCTCAAGCTGCCGGAAGCGCAGTCCTAGTGCTGGGGACACGCGGGGCACGGGGATGTGCCCGGGTGCCCCTCGGACCCCCCCTCGACCTCCACAACCTGGGGCTCCTCGTGGTCCGTTGGGGCTCACTCGCCCGTGCAGTGGCCGTGGCCTCTGGGTGTCACCACCACCTGGTGGGTGCCGCGTCCCCATGGAGTTGGTCCTGTGGGGTGTGCAGGGGGTCACCGGGGGGGACAGAGGAGCCCTGTCTGTGCCCGACCCCCGCTGGGGGTTCTCCATTGGGGTCCCGGGGCTGCCCCGGGGCACTGCTGGGCTGAAGTGCAATAACATGTCGCGCGGACGGGCGCCTGCACCCCTCCGGATGGTAGGGCTGCAGCCCGCTCGAGCACCGGCTGCAGGAGCCCTAAGAGCTCATCCCTCCACGGGCTCTTGCGGGGAGCGTGCGGGGAGCCTGCTCCGTTGCCTCCGGCACTGCTGCCCCCGGAGCAGCGGGAGCCCCTGGGGGTCTGCGTGCCCAGCCAGGGGGCTGCGCAGGGCCGGGATGGGGCTGGGGGCAGAGCGGTCACTCTGTGTACGTGTGTGTGTTGGGGGACCCGTCGGGCTCGGGGGGGGGGGTGTCCCCGCTGCCGCTGCACAAGTGTGGCGAGCGTGCCTGGTCTCGGGCGCGTGCAGTGGGGCACGGAGAGTGGTGATGGCCGTGGGGACAGTGCATGGGGAGGGTTTGCAGGGCTGGGGGGTCCCCGGTGCCTGAGTGGCCCTTGGCGTCCAGAGCTGGGTGGTGGCAGGGAGGCCCAGATTGCGGGCAGGGGACACCGCGGTGTCCCCCACCACCTGCAAGCTGGGGCAGCCCCATGGCCAGCCGTGGAGCAACCCGGGGGAGCAGGAGCCGCCCGGCCCTTTGCAAGGGTGGGAGCCGGCTTTCCTCCCTCCCACATGATGCACTGGTGAATGCAAAACTGTTGTGTTTTTTATTATTATTATTATTAATAATAATTGCTAGTAATATATACCCAGCTTATTTAAAGTGTTCAATAAAACTGAATGTCCTAGCGTCCCGGCATGCTGCTCTGTCTCTCGGACGCACTTGGAGCAGGGAAGGAAGCCCTGCACCTTGGCCTATCAATTCCGCTGTGTCCCTCCAGCACCACCATTCAGACCTGGCTCAGCCCCAGGCTTCAGGTGTCCCCAGAGCAGCCCTCTCGACTGAAACGGTTTAAGGGAAATTTGCATTATTGTTTAGGATTGTTGCGTTGTTGCCTGTGAGCTCTGGTTCTCAGCAGCACACAAAAGCACAGACAAAATGGACACGATGTCTCTTTATTACTACCAAGGGAGTTTGCCCAGCAGGCAAATCAGAGTAACGATATGACACTATGACACGTGTGGCCTCCAAAAAGAAAAGCTGGCCTTTAACGCCCTTTTGCTTCTCAAGCAAGCTAATTTACATCCTAATTGATCAGCTATATATGGAACACACAAGCCCATAACACACTGCGAGCGTCTTCACCTGGCTGAACGTGGCTTCCTTTGGGCTCGCCTTGCTGCGGTGCTGCTCCGCGGCCCTGCCTTGCTTTGCTTGCTGCGTGCACGTGCGCTGCGGCTATTTAGAGGCCCAGGGACTTGGGCCTCTGCCCGCTGCAAGTGCTGGAGTTGCTGCAGGTGCTTTTGCTTTGAAACGCGTTGTCACGGCGTGTGATCCTAGGATCAGCGCTGTGCTCCCAATCAGCGAGAAAACCCAGCAAGCGCAGGCGGCAGCACGTTGAGCCGGGCTGGCCCCCGAGGCAGAGCCAAGGTGTTTTCCCCTGTGCGTTGCCCGTGTTTCTGCCTTGTTCCAGCAGCACAGCCATGCTGGGCACAGGCAGGGATGGCTGCACTGGACGTAGTGCTGGAAAAGGTACTGCCAGTGGGGGACGAGACCCGCTGTCCCCCCAGTCCTTGCAGTGCACCCCCATGCAGGTTTGGGGCTGCAGAGCCCTCGCTGCTCTGCTGAGCCGTGGCGGCTGGCAGGGAGACAGTGACTTCCCCCGTGCATCAGCACCAGGGCAGGGTTGGGATGAGTGGGCGCAAGGCACCCGAGAGGGGCTCGTGGAGGTGACGCTGCCAGCGCCGCAGGCAGTGCCAGCTGCAGGAGAGTCCCCAGCCCGCTCTGCAGGTTGGAGCCGTGTGCGTGGGACAGGCACCCGAGCTGGCCCCATGCCGGCTGCCAGGGGTCTGTGCCAGGGAGAAATGGGGCCGCCTCCCAGCGCCCGTCCCGCTCCGGTGCTCCTGATCAGAAGCGCAAGCGGCGCAAGCGGCGCAGGACACAGGTGTCCGGGCAGGCCGGTGTTCTGCGAAGCGGGGCGGCTGCTCCAGGGGCAAGGCCAGGCTGGACGGGGCAGGCTCCGCTGCCGGGACGCATGCAGGGCTGCAGCGGTGCTGAAGCGGCGTGGGCGCTCGGCGTGGGCGCTGCAAGGGAAGGTCCGGGGTGCCGGGATGCCTCCTGGGGAAGGCTGCGTGCACAGGAGTTTCCCCCGTCTTGGCCCTTTCCTGCCCCACTGCAGAGCATCCCTTGAGCCTCCCCATCGCCAGCTCCCATGGGGCAGGGACGCCCAGCACAGCCCTGGGGATGCACCTACCTCCCTTTACTTTTCCATGCCTTGGACCAGCCCCACTTTCCTCCTTGCGCACCGCCTGGCCCAGCACATCCCACTTCTCCCGGGCTGCCCGCAGCGCAGCAGAGTTTGGCGCAAGTGAGGACTCACATACTCACTGCAGCAGTGGCGGGGCCAGCAGCTGCCCTCACATGAAAGGGCTGCTCGGGCCTGGCGCCTTCTCGCAGATCCAGAAGTGCACGTCGTCGTCGCCGTCGCACTGAGCGGGTTTGATGCTCCCATGGCTTATGATGGCACAGGACCCATTGGACTTCCACTGCCAGGACCTGTTGATGCGACCAAAGCAGGAGTGCCCCAGGCGCCCCTCACTCATGTCACAGGCTAAAACTCCAACCAGCACATTCCCTACCCATCCTTGAGGCACAACTCCCCGCTGGGTCCTAGCTGCCCATGCCTGGGAGCACCTTGGCTCTGGAGCGTCCTTGGTCCAGGACACTCGCGCTGCGGAGCCGCTGTCCTGCCCAGCGGGCGCCACCAGAGGCTTGGCCAGGTCCAGGCGACTGGTGCCCGTCGAGACAGGCCCGTTCCCCCTCGCTGCCTTCAGACACCACAAGAGGAAGTGGTGGCGAGGAGGGGAGGTGATGGTGCACATGGCGCCAAGGAGCCCCGGCCCCTCTACCAGCGGGAAGACCTCATTCCCCTCGAGCAGTTGAGGTGGGAGATGAGTGTGGGGCTCCAGCGCTTCGTCTGGACCCCGAAGGAAACCTGTGGTTTCTTTTGTCCCCTGTCGCTGGTGCATGTGCCTGCCGAGGCTTTGCGTGGCCTCAGCTTATGGTGGCTCCTCTGCCCTTGGTCCCACCTTGGTTTATGCCCTGGCGGTTGTGCCAGGGTGCAGGGATTGGGTACTGGCGGGATTATAAATCCCCTTAAAGCCCTGGGTTTTGCAGCAGGGTCTGCTCTACCCTGTCTGCTCCTCTCGGACAAGCGAGTGCACAGAAACCAGCCTCCCCGTACCTCTCATAAAGAGAGCCGTCGGTCCAGATCCAGGCGTCAGTTCCACCCTCTTCGCTCAGATCCTCTTCCTCCAGCCCGTATCCATACTCGAACCAGGGATAGCTGCTCTTGTATAGCCCGATCCAGTACGGTGTGTCCGAGTTCTTCAGGAAGTTCTGCGGGAGGAAAGCGGCCCCTTGTGTTGGCTTCCCCAAGCCAGGTGCCCCTTTCATCCCCCGAACTGAGGAAGGCCAGGTCTCCAGTGGCTGCAGAAGGATCATGTGAGGAGGAGGAGGGCAATGGGTCCTCACAGTGAGCTTTTCTCCTGCACCAGTGGCCAGCCCAGCGGAGAAAAACATGAGGTTCATTGAGCTGCACCGCCGGCTGCTGACACAGACCTGCCCCCTGGCTCGGGGCACTTCTGAGGGCTACGATGTCCCCTGAACTCCATGGACCAGCCTCGCACCCTTCCATGCCTTCTCAGCACCCAACGCCCCCAGCCCTCGCCGCCCCGCGCACGGTACCGGCACAGTCCAGCGACTCCAGGATTTGGTGATGAGGAGCTGAGAAATTTTCGTATCGCACTCGGTTCTGCTGTCCTCCCAGGTCTTCTTCTCCGCCGAGATGAAGAGGCACTTGCCCCTGTACAGCACCCAGCCCGAGGGGCAGCAATCTGGGGGCAGGGGCAGCGCTCAGAGCGGTTTTTGCCCTGGCCCGGAGACATCCCCCAGCATTTCTCCAGGAGACATCACAGGCACGGCAGCATCTGCCTCTCATCCGGGTATAGGATCACCCTTGGGCCACTCCATCCCCACCAGTGCCCCTGACTCAGCGTCGCCTGCCAAGAGCTGCCTGTCCCTGTGTTACCCGCCCCTTCTCCACCACGGCCTCACCAATATTGGAGCAGGAGCGCAGGCTGCTCACGGTGCTCTCGCTGGCGTTGAGCTTCCCCTTCACGTCCTGCAGCTCCTTCTCCATCATCCCCAGGACGCCCATGGTGCGGCCCAGCTCCACGTCCAGGCTCTGCGCCTCCAGCTGGCTGCTGTTGGCCTCGAGCCAGGCGCGCTGCAGCTCCTCTCGCGCCCGCGCCAGCTCCAGGTCCATCTGCTCCAGCCTCTGCTCCCGCACACTCACCTGCTCCGAGAGGCGCCCGCGCTCGGCCGCGTGCGCGCGGGAGGCCTCCTGCAGCCGGCGGGTCACCTGCCAGTCTGGGCACAGGCGGGGAGCCGTGGGACGGGGGTCGGCACGGCCTGGGCAGGGGGTCACCGGCATTGCCCCCATGTGGGGTGCAGCGTGTGAACGTCCACGCTGGGCATGGCAGGACTGAGCCGGGCACGACAAGGCAAGGGGGTTCCCATGGAGGGTGGGAAGGGCCGGGAAGGCAAAGCATGGAAGAGTCTGCTCAGAGGATGGGTGGGGGAAAGACGGGATGGAACAGAGCAACATGGGGCAGGGCGGGGGTAGGGAGGAGGGAGTGGTGCGAAGCTGGGCACAGAGGACATGGGGAAAGGCAAGGCTTAAGAACGGACAAGGCAGAGCCTGGGAGGCCTGGCTTTGGCAAGGGAAGGAGCAAATAGGATGCAGCTGGGGAAGTTGTGCAGTGGGAAGCAAGGGAGGTATCCGTGATGGGCAGGGGACACAGGCCGGCATGGGGCACACTGGGCACCGGCGCTAGCGCTGAACAGAGTGCATGGGAGTCTGTCTGTGCAGATATTCACCCAGGGCACCCCACCAAAGGTCCCGTCCTCCCCCGACACTGCCCGTGTGCGCCGCGTCGCCGGCAGCCCCTACTCACAGCAGGCGCCCAGGGCGATGGCAGTGGCCAGCAGCAGCAGGCAGGCTGCTAGCAGCCCCACGGGGACGGAGCGCAGCCGGCGCCAGGGCCCTGCAAGACACCACCAGCTGCCACCGTCACCGGCTGCCACCTCCGCCGCCGCCGCAGAGGGCCACGAGCCTGGAAAGCCCACGCAGCCGCCCACCCTCCTGCCCCAGAGCTGGTGCAGGACGACAGCGCACGTGGAAGACATGGGCGCTTCTCTCCAAGGACAGGAGGAAGGGCTCTGTGATACAATCCCATTACCCACACCGTGTCTCCCGGGGGTGCCCCGACTCCGGCGGGCGCTCACCTGGGCTGGGCTGGCCGCCCTGCTCGTCCTGCCCTGCGGGCGCCTGCCCCGGCGGCGTGTTCTCGTAGGGACTCTCCGCCTCGTCCATGCCAAGGGCTGTTGGAGGAAGGGAAGGGATAGCGGGTGAGTCTGTGAGGGCTGGGCCTGGGGTGGTCAGGCCAGGGCCCCCAGGGGCTCTCACCTGCCTCCAGGGCCTGGCAGGCCATGCTGCGTCCTGTGGGCACCTTGGCAAACCTCAAGTCAGCATAAACCCCGCTCTGGGCCATGAGGACAGGAGGCGGCAGTGCCCCCGGCTCCAAGCCTGCCTTGCTGGGCCTTGCTCCCCCGCGGTCCCACCGTCCCTCCGGACTGTAAAGGAGAAGTGAGGTTGGTTTCTGTAGAAGCAGAAGTTTGCTCAGGGCTGCACCAGATGGGACCAGTGAGGCACGGCCATGCTTATGAGCGCCCTCCCATTGGCTCCAGCATCACCACCTCATGTGCCCCAAAAGCGGTCATGGGGACCATGGCAGGGTTGCAGTGGCATGGTCTGTGGTCGGGACGTTGGGATGAGCCCTGAGCAGAGCTGCATGGCCCAATGGGGCAAGGATGAATCCAAACTCATCGGTCATGGGAGAAAGTGGTAGAGCAGGACCAACTGCGATGAAGGAGCATGTTGCTCTGGGGCTGTACATGGTCTCAGAGATTACCAACAACGTAGTTTTCCTTTCACCTTCTCACCACCCTGGGCCTTGTTCTCTATTTTCCTCATATCTAATGAGAATGTCCCATGTTCCAAATCCTGACATTGCCTCTTGACCTTTTCCTATCCTAGAAGACCTCCAAATTTGGTGTTTCTCCAAAGCTCTGTCAGGCAGACATCAGCTGTAAGACACCCTTTGCCTTACCTTCCCTAGGCTGCACAGCCTCACTGCTCTCAGCCTCTCCACATCCACCCTGACCTCCAGCCCCTGGGGTCTCACTTAGCTAAGCCTGAAGTAAGAACTTTTTGGGACAGATGTGCAAGGACGCTGGTGGAGCAGGGCCATGGTATTGTGAGGCTGCCCTCTAGCAACACTGCAAGGTCACTGCAAGTCTTTCTTGACTGGAGGAAGGAAATTTGATCACAGTCAGCTTTAAAGAGCGCAAGGAGAAAAGCTGAAAAACTTCACATTGAGCAGCTTCCACTCAGTCCCAGGAAGAAGATGGAACTCATCCTCCTGGTGACGGAGCACTGGAACAGGCTGCACAGAGAGACTGTGGAGTCTCCTGCTCTGGAGATCTTCAAAACCTGCCTGGATGTGACTCTGTGCCACGTGCTCTAGATGGCCCTGCTTGAGCAGGGAGGGTTGGACTAGATGATCTCTAGAGATCCCTTTCAACCTCAACCATTCTGAGATTCTGTGGTTCTGTGATGCTTACTCCAGGCACAGGGAGGACATGGTAGCTCTTGGGGAGAGGCAAGAGGGTTTTACCAGGGCAAGTGATATCTGCCCAACCTGACTGCTGGCTGCCTTGGGAGGCCTGGATTAGGGACTAGGGGGGAGCTATGTATGTCCTCCACTGTGACAACTGCAAGATTTTGGACATGGTTCTTGTAGTGTCCTCACTGGCAGAATGGGGAGATCTGGCCAGAGGGAGGTAAAAAAAAAGGTAGGTGGAAATATGTTTGGGCACAAGAACTTACAGATTGTCATAAGTAAGTGTCATCCTATCCACTTGGTGAACAGTCACAGGCGGCATCCCTCTGGAACTGATCCCAGCACCAGTACTCCTTAAAGCCTTTGTCAGGACCCTGAAGGCAGAATGAGGAAGGCCTTCAACAACTTCATAGGTGATATCAAGCTGAGGAAGTGGTTGAGTAAACTGAAGGGCAAGACTGCCATTCAACAGGACCTGGAGAAACAGGGAGTGTGTCTAATCAAGGTAAAGGCTGAATCCTACACCTGGAAATGAGGTGCCCTCTACATTATGACAGGCTGGGGTTGATAGACAGTCAAGGAAGCAGCTGCAGACTTGGGAGGAACTTCTGTGAATAATCTGGTCCATCCAGACTCCCTGCTCAAGCAGGGTCACCGAGAGCTAATTGCCAAAGACCCTCTCCATACAACTCTTGAGTATCTCTAGAGATGGAGAATATACAACCTGTCTGAGCAACCTGTTTAGCCACCCTCACAGTAAAGATATGCTTCTTATTTTCCAGTGGAATTTACTGTATCTCACTGTACTTCTGCTTTCCCACAATGGCAAAGCTGAAATCCTAGAGCCCAGCGAGGGGGCCATCTCCATCCTTCATGTGGACAACCTCAGAGCAACATGTTCTGGTATCACAGTAGGTCCCACTATACCTCTGACCAAGAAATTTGGGTTTATCCTTACCCCATTGGGCCATGCAGTTCTGCCTGGGACTCAGATGAACCCTGGAGCTCTGGGTTGCAAAACTTCAACCCTGCTGAGAGCCCAGAAGACCAGGACTATTTTCGGGCATGTGGGAGGAGGTAAACTGGTGGTGTTGGGGCCAATGGGAGGCCACGCATAACCATGGCCATGCCTCACCGGTCCCATTGGAGGCAGCTCTAAGCAAACTTCTGCTTCTGCAGAAACCAACCTCACTTCTCTTTTACACCCCAGGGAAAGAGTGCAGCCATGGGAGAGCACAGAGCAGTGAGGACAGGCAAGATTGGACCCAGCGGGGCTCAGAGCACAGCAAATTGCATGGCGGAGAGCGTGGTTTACGCTGACCTGAGGTTCGCCCAGGTGCCCGCGGGACGCAGCTCGCCCTGCCAGGTCTTGGAGACAGGTGAGAGCTGCGGTGCCGGCGGTGCCCGACGGCCGCGGCCCTCGCGGACTCACGCTCCCGCCGCTGCCCGCAGCGCTGTGCGAGGACGAGGCGGACAGCCCCTATGAGAACGTGCAGCCGGGGAAGGCGCCCGCGGGGCCAGGGACGCAGGGGGCCCAGCCCGCACCAGGTGAGCGCCCGCTGGAGCTGGGACACCCGGCGTGGGGAGAAGGGGGATGGAGACAGGGGCTGCCGAAGGACGGGGACGTGGGGACGGCGCTCGCTGGCAGCGTGTGGGGCGCTGGGTGCCCGGGGCAGCACCCGCAGGGCCGGCGGGACGGCCGGGCGCGGGCGGCAGCCCTCGCACGTCGCCGTTGCGGATGGCAGCACTTCCCCACTGCGTCAGCAGGTGCCGCGGGCCCCGCGTCCCCGGGGAGCCGCGCACGGGGCCACGTCCTGTCCGGGGCGCTGGATCGGCCCCGCCGGGTCCCTCCGAGGCCGATCCAGCATGGCGGGTGTCTTGCAGGGCCCTGGTACCAGCGCCGCTCCGTCCCCGCGGGGCTGCTGGGCGCCTGCCTGCTGCTGCTGGCCACGCTGCTCACCCTGGGGCTGTGCTGTGAGTGGGGGCGGCTGCGGCCGCGCGGGGCCACGGGCGGTGGGTGGCAGGTGGCGGGGAGGAGGAAGGGGGTGCCGGGAGGCGGGAAGGCGCCCGTGTGGGGGCTCCCTTGGCTGTGGCCACGCTGGGGTCCCTTGGGACACTGAGGCCAGCGGTGCCCGGGCGCCCCGTCCCACGGCTCCCCGCTGGTGCCCAGACTGGCAGGTGACCCGCCGGCAGCAGGAGGCCTCCCACGCACACGCGGCCGAGCGCGGGCGCCTCTCGGAGCAGGTGAGTGTGCGGGAGCAGAGCCTGGAGCAGACGCAGCTGGAGCTGGAGCGGACACAGCTGGAGCTGCAGCAGACAAGGCTGGGGATGAAGCAGACGCAGCTGGAGCTGCAGCAGACGCAGCTGGAGTTGGAGCAGATGGACCTGGAGCTGGTGCGGGCGCGAGAGGAGCTGCAGCACGCCTGGCTCGAGGGCAACAGCAGCCGCCGGGAGCTGGGGCACCGCAACGCCGAGCTGGAGCGCGTCTCGGGGGCCCTGGGCATGGTGGAGAAGGAGCTGCAGGACGTGCAGGGCAAGCTCAACGCCAGCGAGAGCACCGTGAGCAGCCTGCACACCTGTATGCAAACAGGTAGGGCTGTGGCACGTGGGCATGGGGACAAGAGCAGCTGGGAGGTGCCGGGGCCGTTCCGGTGCCTGATCGCTGCCCCTGTCCCCAGAATGCTGCCCCTCGGGCTGGGTGCTATTCAAAGGCAAGTGCCTCTTCATCTCATTGGAGAAGAAGACCTGGCGGGAAAGCAAAACTGCCTGTGAATGGAAAAGCGCTCTGCTCCTAATGCAAGAGCCCTGGGAGTCCTGGGAACTGCCGGTACGGATGGAGGGGGGCCATGGCCACCGCGGCGGGTGGTGGCGAGTGCCAGGGCCACACAGAGCCCTGGGCGCTCGAGGCAGCAGCAGCCACGGTGCCAGGGAACCATGGTACCATGGTCATGCTGCTGCCGCCAGCCCCGGCTCCCCATCCCAGCTGGCGGCAGGGCAGGAGCAGGGCTGCTCCCCGCTCCTCCTGGCCAGCATCTTCTCTCCCTGCAGCATTTCATGACAGCGAAGAATGCCGAGTACTGGGTTGGAGGGATATATTATTCCTTGAGAAATCCTGTTGTGTGGCTGAACAAGCACTCACCTAAACAGTAAGCTGAGCCGTCCCGTGTGCTCAGAGCTCCCCTGGAGCTGCTGTGCCCTCCTTGGCCTGAGATGCCCGTTGCGGTTGCTGGCAATGGGGCCAGTGCCAGGCTGCTGGTGACGCTCCAGGCTTCCCCGGCAGACTGTGGGTGCTGCCATTGGCACCAGCTGTGGGAGCAGCACCACAGGACTGGGGCAGGGTGGGAGCAAGGCCGGCTGTCCTGCACCTCTGACCTGCCCCTTCCCTTCTAGGTTGCCCAGTTACTTTTTGTGTGGACTCGCAGATTCTAGGAAAATATGGCAATACCGCTGCTCAGACAGACACGCATGGGTCTGTGAGAAGGCCCCGGGGCTGAGCAAAACCTTCAACATGTGGCTTCCTTCGTTTGCCAAGGGATGAGTGCAAGTCCCCTGCCTCTTCACAGCATGTGGGTACAGGATCTCTGGCTGCGCTGAAGACCTCCTGTTACCTGTCCTGCAACGCAAGCATCCACCTTGCACCCTGCCTCAACCCACTTGCAAACCTTCTAGCAGACAGTTTGGGAAAGAATCTGTATTTTAAAGCAAAATTCTTGGAAAAAAAAAGTGTTATTTTCCTCTCTCACATTCATGTTTACTCTTGTAACCATGAGAAGCTGCCCTCAGCTGCCCTCCATGGCTGCAGCTTGTCCCTTGGTCAAGCTGTTATAGACAAGCATCATAGAATCATAGATTCATAGAATCATAGAATG